CTAGAAACAGCGAGGCCCCCTCACGCTCTCCGGGACCACCCGCGGGGCTCGGGAATGCCCCGGGACACTGCTCTAGAAACAGCGAGGCCCCCTCACGCTCTCCGGGACCACCCGCGGGGCTCGGGAATGCCCCGGGACACTGCTCTAGAAACAACGAGCCCCCCTCACGCTCTCCGGGACCACCCGCGGGGCTCGGGAATGCCCCGGGACTCTGCTCTAGAAACAGTGAGGCCCCCTCACGCTCTCCGGGACCACCCGCGGGGACCACCTGCAGGGCTCGGGAATGCTGCTGGACAGCTCCTGAAGTTTAGCCCTCCTTCTCGCTCTTTAGGACCATGTTCAGGGGCATAGCTCTAGAGACATCCGTCAGAACCAGTGACACCAAACTGTCCTCTTAATCCCGGGAGGAAGCCCCCCCACCCGACACAGCTGGTGGTCTGAGGGCTGCAGGTGACTCCTCTCAGCTGATGCCCCTAGGCTTCCTGGAACGGAGCTCCTCACCTCCCCCAGAAAGTCCTGGCCAGGAAGCAGGCTTTTCTGAAATACACTCTTTTTCAATAAAAATGTCAGGTTTTAATTGTTCCGGAACTGTGAATACACCTACAGTTGCAGTCATTAAAAATTATCAAAGCGAAACTACATAATTATGAACTTAACTGGAATCAAAATTTCCAATCATTTCAGAAGGAAAGTTAAAAACTTAGATTCTAAAAGGCTGCCTACCAAGGTATGTAATTTACAAAATGAATACCTGTCTCAGGAAAGAACGAGTATTTTTAGCTGCACGGGAGCAATCACAGGGATCGAGGGAAAGGTGTGGTGGATCCGTGGACCTCGAAGGAGCATCTGTTCAGGCTCTATGAGCCCACAATAATGGCAGCACAGGGCGAGGGTGGCCAGTAAGCAAATGCAACAAACGGATGCTGACGTTGAGAATTTCAGTTTTTCCCTGTCGGTCTGTGAAGCTTTTCCATTGACCCCTGGATTAAGCTCCTGACGAAGACTGACAGCTCGCTGTATCACCTTTGTTCAGCACCTTGGGCAGCTCTCCCAACCCACGTTGCTTATTTTCTGTCTTCTTCCTATTACACTTACGTTTTCCAGATATTTTAACGATGCTTCTTTTCATTCTTGTTTGATTCAAGGAA